GTGCTGGCTAACTAACTTTATGAAGAGGAAAGGCTTTTCCCTTCGAAGGGGAACATGCATATGCGAAAAGTTTTGTGGAGGAGTACGATGAAAAGCTTCACAGTTTTCAGAGGTTCGTCCTAAACTTGCGGCGCAACAACGGCTACCTGCTTGGGCAAATCAGGAATGCCGATCAGACGCCTCTTTACTTCGACATGCCTGGCACCACAACCGTCGAGAAGAAGGGGGCGAAGCAAGTTCGCGTGCTGACATCGATCCACAATAAAACTACAGTGACGGCAATGCTCTGTTACACGTCAGATGGGCACAAGCTTCGCCCATACCTTATATTTAAATGGAAGACGCTCCCGAAAGGAGTCGTTTTTTCGAGTGGTGTGATCGTGCGGGCCAGTGAGAAAAATGGGTGCGCGTTGCAATCGATGTCTTACGCTTTTTTTTTTTTTCCGCGGTGAAAATCGGGTGCGCGTTACAATCGAGGGCGCGGTAGAATCGAGTAAATATGGTAATTCCCATGCTCGCTGAAGCGCTATGCGTTGCAGCCTTGATAGACACTAATGCCAGAGTTTCCTTCAGGAAACTCAATAATTGTGAATCTGGCGACCTCGAAATTCGGGGAGATTCATAAAGCAGGAGCGAGCAAAGGTGGTGAAAAAAAAAAAAAAAAAAAGAAAACTTGCGTACTTCTTTGTTTGTCAGGGCCGCAAGAACCTCACACATTGCTCCAAATGAATGCGTCCTTTTAGATGTCAGTGATCATTTACACGGAGCACACGTGCATGAATAATTAAACTCGTGTCTAGCAAAGCATTTTGCTCTTAAAATTCCCCTTCTTTCGCTCGTTCACAGCGAAGGTCCTGTTGGTCTCAAAGGTAGGTTGCCTTCAGGTAGCACGCGAGAGAGAGTATTGGTCAGCTGCCAGCTCGTAAAAAGATCACGTGCTTCGCGACTTCAGCAGGAAAGAGAGATGGTTTACGCTCGCCGTCGGGGTAGTAGTGGTGCCAACACCGTCAGGTTTAAGTGCACGTATGTAATCCAGAGAACGGACAAGGGGCGATGACTACCATTGCGGCTCTGTGTAGAAAATCGGAAGTGTTATGGTCGCTGCCCCCAGCAAGTCTTCTTTTAATCCACTCCACTTTCTTCGCATTTAGTAATTTAAGATTGCTAAAAATAAACCCCCCATGCATTTCTAGGCTTTGTCTGCAGGTTCTGCATAGTGCGGTAGGTGACGAAAAGCGGGCCCATCAATTGCCGTGCTTTTGCTTGGAACTAGTCCTCCAACTACATAATTGAAATTCGTTATGAGCCCCCTGCCAATAAGACAACACGGCTGCAATGATCAATTTTCAGGTGCTGCTGGAGAAGCTATATAGTCATTGATTCACACGCGCGTTTTTCCGCAGCGATACCTGGGATCTCTTCAAAGACTAAGCACACCGGTTTTACTAGACTGTTTTCTTGTCTTTATTTTACGTCGGATTGGAACGAACGGAAACTGGGTAAAAGTTTCACACTGCAAACAAAGAATTTAGCACGGCTTCTCAAGCCGTTCCGCACGCCAAAATGCACGACTCAGTTTTAACCATACAGCAAAACGTTGACAAATCCAACTCGCATATAACACATTATTGTGTACATCAAATGCTTGATAATTCCTCTGGGGACATTTCCGATGGATAAACTATTTTACATAATGAATAACAAACATTTAGAATTGCTTTAAGATACCAATCAGATCTAACACACATTTAGGTGCAAACGTATCGCAAGGCTTGCTAGAACACTGAACTATGCCGAGTATACTAGCACAATAACTGCAACTATGCTGCTGATGCCAAGTTTTAAACCCAACCTCACTTACTAATGCATCGTGTGAATGATGCAAAGTGTCTATCAAACAAATTGGCACACCTGAGGCCTACTCAATGCCCTGTGGCAGCCACTGCATAATGTCACCCGTTCCCTTCACAATCTCTTTAATAGATTTTCTTTCTTGAAGTTAAAAGCGAGAAAATTTAGTGAAAACACCAAATGCTGCAGCTCCTGACCAACAAACTTGTGTTTTCTGTTTCACCAGCTTTGGGTTGGGATAGGCTCATAGCCAGAGTGTGAAGGAATACCGAACAAAATTTTTGATGCCAAGCTTTTCAGCCAAGCTAAAAGAATGGATGCTGGAATCAATAGATAGAACCTTCATATCCGGCAGAAACTGGTGGAAAATACCGTATTGTGCTTTTTACAAACAGCCGTGCCTACTGGTTGTGCCGCGAACGGGAGGAGGCGACAATACAAAACGCCGGAAACAGGCATGCCAACATTGCGGGCTGTCTCCGGCGTCTCTTGACCAAGCGAGCTCTCACTACGGTTCCCATAAACCAGTATGAACAGCAGTGAACAATGCCTCCTGCTGGAGTGAAGCACCAGCACTCTTGTGGAAGAGGGAGAGTAGGATAAGAGAAGGCATAAAAAGAGGGTAGGAAGCACGCTGCATGCGCTCGTGTCATGCTGTTGCTCAGTGACAATACATCCAACTGTTCAAAAATATGAGAAATAAACTTTGCTCATCAGCACAGTCTTTCGAGCAGATTTTCTATGTTTATATAAGTTTTTCTTCCAATTTTCAACACGGAAGTGTTTGATGCCGGGGTCCACGAAGGCTTCGTTCTAACACAATTAGCGTTACCTTGATTCTTATAACTGAGGAGTCGACCATGTTGCTGGTCAGTATCTCAAGGTTACTAGGGCTATAAGGTACATTGTATACAAGGACTCAAAATGGAACTGCGGCAGCCGAGGTTGAAGGTGCGTCTTCGGGTCACCAGCCGCACACCGAAAGCGCTAAACCACCAGAGTGGCGTTTCTGCAGTTTCATTTAAGCACACGTGCGTCTTGTATTCAGAAACACTACACCAGAAAGATGTCAGAGTCAAGCACCAAGTCCTCACCCGAACTGTCGGGACGGCAGGAGGTTGCGCATCCACGTCTCGGTGTCCTTCAGTTGGACGTCAAAGCGGGGGCTGATGACACCGCACTTGTTGAGCCGGCCGTTGAGGAAGACCACAATCTTGCCCGCGCGGTGATCGTCCACAATCTCAAACTCATTGATGTAGCCTGCAAGATGACGACAACATACCGATTGAGTCGTGAATTGTCAACTATTAATATATCATGTTCAAAAGTGCACGGGCATCTTCAAAGAGTGCCATGTACGTTTTTTGTTCACTCTTGACCAAATTCTAAGCCGATGAGACCAGTCAACAGACAACATCTCACACATGTCTGGCAGTGTAGAAGCAAGAATTGTGACCATAGGGACGCACACCGAGTGATTACTGGAGTTACTCAACTTATTATGGGATCAAATTAAAAGAGAGCTCTGATGACAAGTCGTGGCAGGTGTTGCCCTGCATACCGAATGATCAGCTGACACCATGCAAAACATGCATCACAATTCTGATGTCAGAATCCATGAATTGCCCGTACCTAGTCAATGTGAGAGCTTGAACCATGCGGCCACAGAACACCACCTTGTAATTGAACCATCACAATTGCGAGTGTCCAAATAAGTCCGGTGTGTTTACAGGAGGTATGATTACGCCAAATATGACCCTGTCCCACAGTTACTGTTTCTTGAGGACAGAAGTATCACCAAGTACCCCCAATGCACTTCCCTAGGCACCCGAAAGATTACACGGACTAGCTCCATGTGAATTGGTCGCACCTGCCAAGATCGCAGGACAACGAAGCATTGAGCCCTTCACGTGGTTACAATTAAACAAGCGTCACACGTCACAATACCGCCACAAAATTCCGAACTTAGCACGGTGTCGTTGGCGAACAACGATAGGTGGGCATGTGTTCAGACAGTCGGCGATTGTCGTTTAACCGCGAAACGACAGTTGATTAACACGAGATGGGGCTCGTTAACGGATCAACCGAAATGACCCTCGCTCACATAGACACAAAGCACCATGAAAGATCGAGATTACTTAAACACTATTCCAAGGAATCGGGTCATAAGAGGCGCGAAATGTATGACAATGCGTTAGAACCAAAGAACACACTGCCAAGCGACGCGCTGCTACGTCCGCCAAGCATGCGCTCTACGCACGAAGTTTGAAACGAGTTCTTACCGTGCTTCATCATGACTGTGAGGAATTTGATGATGACTTTTGAGCAGGGCCGGATGAGCACCTGGCGCTTGCCCCGCTTTTCTGCATTGTTGATCGACTTGAGAGCGTCGGCCAAGACGTTCATGCGCACCATTTTGTCTGCAATGCGAAACAAGGCGAACCAAGAGGTGAACCAAGCTGCCGGCAAAGACCGACAGCACGTCGCGACGTGAAACACACACTACGCTCGCGGCGAATATGGGTCCCCTTTTACGGCACTACGTACGGTACGTGCCGTATCTAGTGGTGCGAAAAGAAAGCGCAACCTTTGATTTATTCGAGGACGGTGGCTTGAACGCGGCAGAAAGCGAGAATTCGCACAGATGAAACGGATTGAAAAATGTTCGGGCGAAGATTACCTCCAGAGACGGTGGCGGCCGGGAAAAAGAGAGAGGAGCATGGTGATGTAAAACAAATAGAAGCTTGCCTAGGCGGCGCTGCCTAACACTTTATTTCAAAGATTTTCTAAACCGTCATGGTAGCCACGACGTAAAATGTGCTCGCGCTTTTATACACATTTATTACAGCTCTTTATTTGTTGCCAAATTGCAGGTTTTTGTTACTTTTGCGCTTGAATAATGAACCAATTTTTGTTACTGAACTGCAAGAGTACTACAAAAATGTCCTAAATTTTAGTTTTGAAGAATACACTTCTCGGAGGCCCACAAAATGCATGTGTGGCCTCCGAGACTAACCAATTTCAGCGCATTGTGCAATAGGTGAGCAGGGGATGGATCCTATGAAAAGACTTTTCAAAAACATACAAAAAGACAGCGCAAAGTTCTGTGCAGCGGCTTCTCGAACGCGTCAAACAAAGCTGCAGCCCTGCCTACGCGCTGCCGTTTTTCTTCCGCGCTTATTATTCGGCAGGTCGCCGTGTCATCTTTCTTTTTTTGTCGTGGCAACAGCCGGACGTCGTAGCGCCGCCCCATTTGTTTCCGGAGTTTTGATCCGCGCCGTTCGATCAAACCGATGCCGTGATCCGCCCCACTTCTTTCCGTCTCTCCACTGCCGTGGCAGTCGAACGGATTGCAGATGACTTGCCATAAGAACCTCAGACCACTTGAAGACTTCTTGTAGAAGCCGTGACGGAGGCTAGCCCGTCGTCTACAATCTGAAACCCCGTCTCATTCGGGACTGCGCCCACCGCCTGAGCGCACTCCGTTCGGCCAATCGCTCCGCAAACACATGAAATCAAAACAAAAGGAAGCGACCTGCGCGGGGCCGTTTCCCCTCCGCGGGATAATTAGCGGCGGTGCCCGCTCGGTCGGGGGTTCTGACTCAGCGCGGCGCCGTGCTTTTTTTTCTTAAAACGCCCGCCGCTCTCTCGCCGAATGCACGCGAATGGCAGTGTCGCGGGTGGTCACCAGTCAACGCTGGTGCCGAAGGCACGTGCCGTACTTCGCCATCGGCGTGGCCATCCTGAGCGTGCAGATCGTGCTCGGGTACCTGTTCTACCTAGCGCCGGCGTCGGATTCGCACGCCGGACATCTTCCGACCGCACGGACGGCTGGATCGAGAGCGTCCGACTCACAGGTGACCGCGGTCAAGCTTTCGTGTCGCGCGCGTGCATGTGAAGTGTTCCTCCACGCGCGCTGTAGTGCCGTTATTTTCGTCGCGGCTGCAGGTGTTTCGCGAAAGTGCGTGCTGTGAGCGCATGCCTTTCTCCGGAGTATTGTTATCATTGTTTCGTTACTCCTGGATTTCTTCGGGTGCTGTGGAGCGCGCGTTGCTTGGAAGCTTGTTTTTTTTCCGGTAGCGCATTTATCGCGAGCAATCGCAGCTCGTCTACATTGATTGTTTGTACGTCATGCGCGCACTCCACGTAACGGCGTGAGAGAAGACCCATAGGAAGCTTGCCCGGAAGGCAAACTGATAACATCCACAATTAACTGTTCTCTAAATTTGTACAATCCCTTAGATCTATAGTTCGTTGCCCGAGTAATTCAGAGTACAAAAAAAAAAAAAAACTAACAGCTAGCGTATCACGCTCGTTGCCGGCGTACTAAACGCGGCATTGCTTTGGCTTGTAGAATCTAGAAATGGGGGCCGACACATAAAAACAGAAAGCTGATGAGTCGGCCCTCTGAGCCCCATCTTGCCATGTTACTCTGCTGGAAGCACCAGGTCAACGGAAGAATAATGTCGTCGATGAGTCGTGTGACTGATTGCCTGTCATTAGCACAAACACGACAGCTGATTATTCAAAGGAGCAACCTAGCTCGACAAAGTGCGGACCTACGTAGTTGTGAAATTGCGCCACAACCCACAATGTTTGCGTAGCACGTCTCACCCAGGTGCGAAGAGCCAGACTGAAGTGTTTTGCGGTAGAATAAGAGAGAGATGAACTAGTTGGCAAGTGTTCATTCTCAAAGACGGGGCGTGCTAACACGAGGCACAAATTATTTGGCCGGCATTCGCGGCGTCCTGACGTCCTTCTAGTGTCCAAGTTTGCACAATCTTTCTGTGAGACTGGTTTGGCTGTGATGGTTTCAGAAAAACAGCGTAAAGTTTGCTGCAAAGAGGTGCACGCTGCGCAAAAGCAGAATATGCGAGATGGTATCTGGCTTGTGTGGCAGTGATGTAGGCTCCCTTAGCTGAAGCTTTCCTCAGTTGACAGCATAGCGCTGGAACACATGAACACTGTTGTTCTTTATGAAAGGGAACACGTTTACCCGTGGTCTGCACTCTGCGGCGGCTGCCTGCAGCACCATCAATCAACAAGTGAAGAAAGCATGTTCACTTTTGGCGTCATCTATGGCCAAGCAAGATAACGAGTCATGGCCAGTGTACAAGCTGCTAGATTACATTCCCTCAGCGCTCACGTGGCCAGCGATATCGGGCAATTACTGCAGCTTGCAACCCACCCAAGTATCCGTTTTAGGGAAGAGTTTGCACTGCCTGAAGCTAGGCAAGACGAGCTTATGGTTTGAACAAGAAGTGTGAAATATTGAGCTCGACATGCGATGTTTAGATGAATGGTGAAGCATAGGTTGCTTGCACTCAGAACCTTGGACTGTTTTCTTTGTGTCACTAATGGGCGGAGCCAACGAGGCTGGCAAGGTACAAGCGTCATAGTATCATCTGGCCTATGCAAGTTGCTGGTACCAATTTGCTGTACATATATTAGGTGCATGTTAAGGAATCCCAAGGGCTTCAATAAAGGAGGAAGCACTTTAGCGTCGTGGCTTGTCGGTGTGGCGTGTCGTCGTAGTCTCGGCTTGTCATGTTGTCACGATGGCGTCACTAAGTCTATGCATCGCGAAAATTAGGTAAATCCCACTACTGTGTGTATTGCAAGTTAGAGGTGTGTTGTTACTACCTAAAACTTTGTTTCGCTTAGCAGTGCCGTCAGAATCTCTGATGAAAGTTTACCAAGGTGTTCCAAGTTCCTTACCTAAAACCGCAGACACAAAATGTGCATCTCTACAGTAATGTTATCTATTTAAAACACTACTTATTGAAACATATCTGCAAAGTTATTGCGTGTTTGTGGCCCGGTGGTGAGTAAAGCAGTTAAGAGAATAATGATTTTTGCTGGGAGAAACATCGGCCGACACTGCATTCTTCACCCCTCACCAGGTTTCACGTTACTGGAGCTCAAACACCCTTCTCTACATGCTTGCCTTATTTTCTGAAGCACTCCGCTATAGTGTGCTTCAAAATCGTGTTGTGGTTTTGGGACATAATGCCCCCCAAATCATTAATTAGCGATTTGGGCTGCTCTAATGAACTGCATGGTGCACACAGCGCCGTGGGACACCATGTCGCATTGAATGCACCAAACTTGTGCCTTGGTGTTTAAGAAACTTGGAAGAAATTCTGTGGTTTGTTGTTGTTTATAAGGTTTACATATTGTTCCTTCTGCCTGAGTTATGTGGCCTGCACTATTTCTGTGAATTAATAACTAAGTAAACAATTTGACGTTGATTTTCTTTCTCGTTCCACCAGGCCAGCAATGGACGGGAACAGAGTGCCCAGTCAGATGACGAATACAACGACGAGGAAGGCGGGCAGCACCCGCGCTCGGAATCCCGGCGAAGTCCATTGGCGTCGAACTACGTCAACGGGTCGGAGGCCATCAACTGGGATCAATTGGGGTTCCGGCCTGAATGCGACATCGTCGAGAAAGACGCCCTCTCCGCGATACGGCGTGCCACCACGACCCGGTGCAAACAGGAGTTGGCGAACGTGACCTGCCTCGTTCGGCGCGGCTTGCTGTACCCGAGCGAGCTGCCGCGGTTTTGCGAGACTTCGCCGGGTAAGATTGTCGAGGCTGGAATGGTTGTGCTCTCGAAGCTTCTGGCACGTGTTTGCAAAAACGTCGTACAGTATCTTTCGAAATGGAAGGCCAGGTACAGTTTAACCCTTTCAGGTGCCACCTCTGAAGAACTGCCTGTAAATGCGTCAAATTGTTACAGCATGATTTCAACACACTCTATCTTCCATTGCAACAACGATGATTTTATAATAGATTGATTTATGCATTTTATAGCAGTTAATTGAAATTAAGCTTTCATTAAATATCTACCTATCGTAAAGACATTCATGTTTGGTTCTCGCATATATAGAATCAAATCTCAGACTAGAAATATACTGCAAATTGGTTTCTGGTTTTGTTGATATTTAGAAAAGAAAAAAACATTTCGACGCGGCTCCAGGGAAGCACCACGTCTGACTTGTCGACTATGGTGGTGCCTTCAGAAAAGTGATTATATGCAACAGTACGGTCAAAACTGAAGTCAAATAAAAACAAGTTTATTAGGAGGAGGTTCATTTCCTCTAGACCTCATTGTATCTTGCAATTTTTTAGCTCCTAGTTGACACAACTATAAAAGCAAGTGATGTACACAATTGTGTACAAAACATCTGAAAGGTTTAAAGGGAGAGTCCTCCCGCTGGCGCTTCCAGCGAGAGGACTCTTGGTAAATGACTAATAAAAAAAAAAAGAAGTAGGTGTTAGCATTACTTAGTGATTCCTGCCCCAATTGGCGTGACTTCAGATTCTGACGGGATCTACAGGTCCTATATAGCTTCTAATAGGTAAACATGATCGACCTCAGTGGGCGCCAAAGAATTAACATACTAAGGTTCAGGAAATTTCGTTGAGCTGATGCGGCCAGAACATATAAAATGCACTTTAGAAATTTTCATGACACCCTGCCCTAGGATATCAGTGCGAAATTTAAATAAAAAATTTTGACCGCTGTATTGCCCTCTATTAAAAACCCAAGACAGTGAAATCAACAATACTCAAGTATTCACACCATAATTTATGAATCTTATCAAGTTCATTGCTTCGTTTTAGTGTCTCCTTAACTCTGTTAGGTGAACATTATAAATAGGTAGCTTATGTCCAAGGAAACCAGGTTGTCATGGCTGCTAATTGGCTTAATTACTTTTCAGCAGCCCTTAAGCCTTTGTCTACTGTGAAGAGTGCTGTTGTCACTGGAATTAGTACTGCTAATGTAATAGTTTGTGGTGAGGGTATAAATGTTTTGGAGAAAAGTACATCACTGCATACAACGTTGCCTAGAATGTACGTTCTTCTAGGTCTATCTTTCAGCACTACCGTACTCACATGATTGTACGTCAGCTGAAATGTTGGTCAGCTCCCCCCCCCTTAAATATGCACAGCGAAAAAAAAAGAAACTATAAAAACTGATTTACAATGTCTCAAAAAAAAAAAAAAAAACTAAATCGTATTTTGGTTTGTCAAGGTGGCTTCACGGCAGTACTTAAGAGCTGTGCAGAGAAGCTAGTTTCTCAAAAATACGCACGGATCATTTTTGGTGACTTTGCAACTGATACTAGTTTTCAATTTGAGTTCGACGCTGATCTGGTAAATACAGTAGATGGATGAATTTGTCAATATTAGGTATTAAAGAAGCTTGTACAGTTAGTAATTAGAGTTACTTTAGAGTACAGTAACCCTGATGAGTTACTGTACTGTAGCATAACTCCATACCTGTGCAGTAACTCCTTAGAGTTGCTGCACAGGTATTGCGTGTGGTACCTGTTTTCTTATCGCTTGCGCGAATGCTTTCGTTGAAAATGCAACATTCGAAATATTTTGAACTGCGACTTTTGCTTGAAACCCTGATGAAACAGTTCTCATATTTTGGGAGTTCGAGGGAGAAAATGTGTGCTTTCACACATCAGTTTTTCCTTTAATGTCATAAAGATGGATGTTGCAGTCATTGGTGTCATCAGTATAGTCATTACTGGTGTCATACTTAAAGACCATAAAACTTCGATTCATGTACAAAAGAGTGAATTTCAGGATCGAAAAAAACTGAAGCCGTGATAGCGGCACCCACTTACGGTTAGTGTCAAGTTAACTGGGGTCTGGAAAGGGAAGTCTTCTGGCTAGTGGTACTTATCGTAGGGATTATTAAAATTGAGGAAGTTTGTGTAGTGAGTAAATTAGTACCAATGCTATTCTAAGTTTATTTGTGCTTGTTTGGTGCAAACCAAGAAAGGAAGGTAAAGCGGTTTATGCAAGCTGAGCCTTGACTTCCAGAACAAAGTCAATAAAAAGTGACAACTGCATTATAGAAACGTAATGAAAACACCTATCTGTTCCAATTTCAGAATTGCAAATGATAGAGTGCCAGTAAGGTGCAAGTAACTTACTTGCTAAGAAAGGGGAATTAATGCATTCATTGTTTCCAGGTTCTCGTCTCACATTTAGTGATATATCTGATTAATGGTATTCGTTTTGTGAAATTCATCTGTAGGTATCACATTTTTGCATGAGCAGAATGGCACCTTTCAGGAGGTCGCTCACAGGACTTGCACTTTTCAGTTTGTGAGACTTTATTGATTAAAGCATCGAAGTTCGCTTATCTAAACTTGTGCATATATTAAAGCGGTAAAGACACCGCTTTTCCGAAGTCGAGTTTACTCCGTTGCACAAATCTCCTGTGTACAGAGAGGGCTATGAGCAAGTTTGAAGCATGGTAAATGCTAATACACTCAAACCTCATTATAACAAGGTTGCAGTCTTACAAGAAAATAATTTCGTTATATCCAAAAATATATTATAAAGGCTATTCCTGACACTGTATCTATTGCAAGACTAATTTTCATTTACTTTGTTATAACCAACAGTTTCATTATATTCCGTGTTCAATATATTGAGGTTCAAGTGTATCTAGTTTTGATATTAAAGTCAATTTTCGCGCGGCACACTCACTGACATTGACAATAGTGCGACGTCAGGCTACTGTACCAATTGTGGTGACTTCACATGCCTGTATAGCTAGTTATGATAACGTTGTGCACCAAAAAACACAAAGTGGGCACTTGTGTCTCACGGAAAACATTGAAAATGATTCCTTGTAGGTCTCTAAAAGCAGCTATGGAAATGTCGTGGTATTTTATGCGAACATGTGGTGAGAAGCTCATACAGTGTCGAGATGTCAGAGCTCAGTAGGAACAGAAACTAGGTTTTAAAAATATGTTGTGAATAATTTTTTAGGGCAGACTCACGTTAGCCAATATGTTTTCTAAGCCCCGAAAGAATTGGTCCTTGATTTGGCACAAAAAAGAACTGAAAATTTTCGTGTGAGTAATCTTTTTCTAAAACTCTGGTTGAAATACAACATAAAGTCCTTTCGCTCCCAGTGACTTGCTGTTCAGCTTCAGGGCATTATGTTGCACAATTTATATTTCAGAAATCTTTTAGCGGCTATTCCTGATGGCAAATTGTAGTTTGCAGCGCTATTGTTGGTGCTCATGTAAGTTTTAGGGCGTGCATGTCTATTCGTGTGGTGTGTGCAATCTTATTATGAGCATCGATAATATTCCAGAATCTTCTATACATAAAGGTGCATCTCTCATTGTGAGACAACATTGTAGCATTTGTTAAGGTATAGAAAACAGTTGCCGCCAAAACACAGCCACTTATGTCTGCCCATGTTCTGTGATAAACCTTGCAAAAAAAGAGACAAATTTCAAAGGATTACCCAAAGAATTCACTGTACAAACGTTCCTCGGTCAGGACGGGTAATCGGCGCACACCTGGGCTGCTTCCGCGACGACCGCAAGTCGCGCATCTTCGAACGGCTGGCCTCGCGGACAGCGCTCCAATTCTCGGCGTCACTGTGTCGGCCTCTGCCTGCGTCTCGGATTTGCCTGGGCTGGCCTTCAGTATGGCACGGAGTGCTTTTGCAGCAAGGAGGGGCCTGCGGCAAACCTCACACTGCCGTCTCGCTACTGCGACATGGTCTGCCCTGCCGACGACGGCGAGTTGTGCGGGGGCTATCTTGCCATGGACGTCTTCTCGACCGGGTTGCCCTGTGAGCGTTGGTGACATCAAAGCGATGCATGTGCAGAAAGCTGCTTTCTTCTCGGGGATGGCCTAACCCACTCTTCTGAAAACACGTCGTCGTTGCCTCAGACGCACTGCTGTCGGTCTCCCTCGGCCGTTTTCTCCGAGGCCTCCTGTTGCCTTGCTTGACGAGGTAGACGATGCTTGCGACTTCCTAATCTGCCTGCAGTTTAGTGCTTGTTGCCTCACACTCGTATTTTCTTGTTAACTCCGTCATCTCCCTGTTCTTCCTTCTTGCATTCCTGTGGTTCTTCAGTCTCTCTTGTTGTGCTTGTTGCAGTGGACGAAAACTGCAGCTTCTAATTTGCTAATAAGTACTTACAGCTAGTGCAAGCAGGCAAAACACACTGGAGGCACGATAAGATGACACTGGTGCCAAACTTCTAACTGGTGATTTAATCGAATAGCTACATTATCAGTGGCCATTGCAATCTTTTTCATAACCTCATGTCCAGCCCAAGTTTTGTTCTAGCATCTTGTAAAGGGGGGCTCGGTTCTTTGCTGTATCAGTTGCCTTAATTGAAAAATAGGCCTTTTATAAATTATGCACCTGTTGTGAATTTTTATTTGGCTAAGCAGGTCAGCCACACTGATGGTAGTCGAAATATTTTTAATCAAACTGTATTAAATTGGAAGTTCAGCGCAAGCCCCATCTTTCTGTGACCTTCTGTGCATCATTTACTTGTACGGCTCAACACTGTTCATGCCGAACTGCTTTGTTCATTGAAACACACTTATAGTCAATGCTACCAGTAGCTTCTTTTCTTCGCAACTGTGCTCGTCTTTGATCTAAACTTCACTCGACTCTCTCCATGGTGGCTTTGGCTTTCTGTCTGCGGCTTTGTTTCTGGGTGCTGTCTCTTGCCACTAGCAGTGGCTTTCTCACCCTGATTTTGTAGGCTCGCGCATGCACTGTCCAGTAGCAGCTTCAAGCTTCAGCGTAGTGGGCCTACTGTCTCTCCGTCTTCTGCGACTTGACCGATCACTTCCGTGACATTAGTCAACTCAGACTTGGCGCACTTTTCCTTGGCCAAGACCTACCACTCTCTAGTGATGTTGTGCGAGAACTTTTAACACTTATAAGACTCGAGTGTGGGGCCTGTTGCTCGTTGGGCTTGTCACCTTAGTACGCCTCTCATGCGAATGCACCCTCCCACCGCTCTTTACTTCTTGAGGTGTGTTTATCCGTCAGAACTTCCTTCTGCTGCTTTTGCTACTGTTTGATTGATGTATTTTTTCGTTCCCGCAAACTTACGTTTACCTATGACTACTTCACAGAAGTCACCGAGGAAAAGCCATTGCCAAACCATTTACAACATCTCTGAGAATTCTAACAACGTACGTATGTGCGGAAATCTCATTAACTATCATGTCAGTAAGTATGCAATTTAGCGTAGTGGCTTGACAGTAATTTTTAATATTGGAGCTCTGTAATCTGGCAGAAAAAAAACATGGTATAACGCATAAATGCCTTGTCTGATGCACCTAGCATGTTAATTGCATTAATTATCCCAGTGTGCACTCTCTTCATCTTGGTTAACGATGATTAAAACAGTGCGAAGGACAGAACAATTGAGAAGGGAATGCAAACACTTTGCTAGAGGATGAGACGATTGAAAAGGAAACACAAACATGGTGCTGGGGTCGGAACAATAGACAATAAAACAAACGCGTCGCTGGGGACGGGACAATCGAGAAGGAAACACAAACATGGTGCTGGCAACGGGACGATTGAGAAGGAAACAAAAATGCGGTGCTGAAGACGGGACGATGGAAGACGAAACACAATCATGGTGCTGAAGATGAGACGACTGAGGAGGGAACACAAACACGGTTCTGAGGACAGGACGGTCAAGAAGGAAACACAAACACAATGTTGGAGACAGGACGGTCGAGGTGGGAACACAAGCGCAGTGCTGGGGACGGGACAATAGAGAAGGGAACACAAACATGCTGCTGGAGGACGGAATGATCGAGAAGGGAACACAAACACTGTGTTGGGGACGGCATGATCGAGAAGGAAACACAGATGTGGTGCTGGGAACAAGATGATTGAGATGGGAACACGAACACGGTGTAGGAGAATTGGACTATTGAGAAGGAAACACAAACACTGCACTGGATGATCAAGAAGGGAACACAAACATGGCACTGGAGGTCGGGACAATGGAGAATAGAACACAATTGCGGCCTTCCCAATTGTCTCATTCTTCGTGCTGTTTTAGTCTTAGTCTACCATGCAGCATCAAGTAGCCCAATCAAGCACACTGTTAAACTCTTCTTCGTTTTCAGTGTAGTATTGTAAGGTGTTGGGAAAGGGAAGCGAGATCGAGGCAGAGTGGCGTCTAGGTGAAGAGAGAAAGGAAAAAGAGGGAGGATGAAGGAAAGAAAAAAAAATAAAGAGATGCAAGGAAAGCCACCAAGGGAGTGGGATAGGGAAGTGATGAGGAGGAGAGAAGGTTAAGCATAATATAGCCGTGTATAGTGAGGAGTAGAAAATATCAAGTGAGGGTAGAAAAGAATGATGTAAGGGTGGTAAAGGGAAAACGGATAGAGTGTAACTTTGCCACATGTAGTATAATATATCAAGTGTGGAAAATGCCAGTGAGGGTTAAGAGGAGGGAAAGGAAAAAAGGCGAGGGTGATGCATATTGCAGGTGTGTATAGCATAATATAGCCAGAGGTGGGAAAGGGAACAGATTGGGGAGGAGGGAACACTAGCTTCGGTGTCCTCACAGCACTCGTGCGTAGCTACACCAATATTTTTTACACTCAGACATTTGCTAAGCTTTAGTGACAAAAGTTTGTGAAAAAATAGAAAATTAGAAAAACTATTCAGATGTAGTAAATTGTGTGTACTAACATTTCAGCACATGAAATCGGGTTATCTAAAAACACTAATTTTATAATTTTTGTCTCGTGTGTTCTCGAGAGCCTCGGCTAGCGATCAATAGTGTTTTCTGACCGGGCTGAAAAAGTGTGGCACGGTTCCTTTGAGGCAAGAGCAATGGTTCTACACAGGCAGGAACTGGCACAATCCTTTATTAGAAAGCACTGGCTGAACCTATCGTTTTTTGAGCTGAGTTGAAGGCTGTGAAGATAACTTAAGAAAAGGAGAAGTCAGGTTTCGATGGTCAACGCGTGGGGTGTGAGCATTGTGCAAGTAAATTTAGTGTCAGATGGAACTGTGTGTTGCCTCTTTTCTTAGCTTGTTCTCCGCCTATATACGTTAAAGGTGTTCACTGCGATCTAAAACCACGAAGGCCCACCCCACCAAGTCACACAGAATGTCTACTATGGTAAACCAACATCAATTTGAAAAAAGTCATTTGCAGCTTTAGTCAAGGGGAAACGTATTATAATTTCTTAACTTTGGGAGCGCTAAAATACAAATAGTGTTGCGAAGGCTCAGTTATGAGTCTCATATACTGTATTTCGTTGCATACGACTCGCACAGAACATTTATTGCAATTCAAAGGAAAAGTCTGGTTGCGGTGTAATACAAGAATTGCAGTGCGCAAAGTTGACTCATGGCACTGATGCACGGCATTGCAAAGATGGTGGCTTTACAACTATACGTGAAAATCATTATTTTGATTAATTTTTTACAGCAAAGCTGTTAAGGCTGGCAGTTAGACGTCCGTTTACAGAGAAGCCCCGCTGTGCCGTTGCTATAGCGATTGCCACAGCTGCATGCCATCTTCGCTAAAATAGCCAAGCTGCTGCCGAGCAAGAGCCATCGCCGAGTCGTTACCATAGCAGCCACCACAGTTTCCTACACTGTGGCCCAGAGACAGCGATTTCAGCGCATTCAGAGTGGCAAGCTCTGCACATGTTCTGGAGTCATCCATCACAGTCTCTTTGCTGCCGTTTGTGCAGCCAAGCACGTTGGATCGAATCGCTGCGGGCGATCGGATCAGTCATCGATTAAATTACAGCGCTGTAGCACGACAAGCCGAGGATCGACCACCTTCGCTGTGCCAAGCTTTGCATTCCTTAGCGCAGAAATCTCGGATTATTTTTCTTTCCTTGAAAACTTTTTTTCGAGATTCGTGGTTGGGGGTGTGGTGTACACATGCAGGAGTAGGTTATACACGAAAGAATGCTTTGTACCGTAGCAATACAAAAACGTCTCATGGCATACACGTGCAAGTGTGGTGCAATAAACCGACTCGCTCGGGAACGCGGTGTGTCAGGATAGATTGACGCTGTCATGAAGTAATCGACATTACCTTCTGCTGCTATCGCCTTGAATCTGCCCTGGCGCCTACAAAGTGTGTTTCTCACATTACACTCAGCGTGCAGTGATCACATTGCATGCCTGACGTCTGTGTATCAGCAACTTACCTGCCGACGCAGCTGTCGACTTCTCCTCCCTTCACTTCAGCTGCTGCTTCACTTCAGCGATGCAAGCGTCTAATACTGCTTCGTTTCGGGACCTATTCTAACACTACTGCTTGCTGCTTTGTACGATTCCTGTACTAATAGCGTAGCTTGCATTTTGTGATGGTCTCAATATGCAGCGTTATGCGTTATGAGATTGTCTTAGATTGGAGTGCTGTGTGTCCCATATGAGCGAAACAACAGGCCCATTAGTGCTTTCTTTTTAAAGTAGTGCCAAGGCAGTTTTGCTCTTACCTAGAGCATTTATTTATTTATTGAATACAGTGTGTTGGCTATTATCTTCTACGCACATTATGTAATCCACTATGAAGGGTATTTCTGACAGAAGTAAAGAAAACTGGGCAAAAGAAGCAAACAAACAAATAAGAAAGAAAGCCCAAATAAAAGAGCTAAGAAATCACACAAAATTTAAGAAAATCTTGAACAAATACATGACTGTCTTCATTCAATCTCGATCTACCGTTGAGTCGTTGACCAAGTGTTTTAGTATTTACATACCCTCTGGACCAATTTGTATTAAAGTGGCTGGTGGTGAGTTTTTGTACCAAATGACGAAAAAGAAAAAGAAGCAGTTTGTTTAGTTAAGTCAGGCAGAGAAAGCTTGTAAGTCAATACGATAAAACCTAGCACAGTATTAAACCAGCTGTTTAGTAATGTTTGCTGTCAGGGGAGGGGCTAGTGGGAGGGGGGGAGAATGTTGGGTGCTGGCAAGAACTTTGGAGGAGTGTTGCACCCCCCCGCCAAGATCCTCTGCACCGACCATGCCTGCAGATATCATTGATTTTCACCAATTACTGAAAACCTTGCCTTGCTCACTCTGAGCTTTTGAGAACAGTTTTGGGAACGGAGTCGCAAGGCTGACACAGTCTCATTATTGTGTCCCATCACATACCTCCCAGCTGTCGGCGAAGTCACGAAACGCGAGATCCTCTGGCCGCTGGCGCCGACGACCGCCAAGACGCTGAAGCCGGCGCGCGTCGCCTTCCTGCTCTGCGTCAACGGCCGTGCGGTGCGTCAGGTGCTGCGCCTGTTGCAGTTTCTCTACCACGAGCGTCACGTTTTCTACATTCACGTCGATGCCGTAAGTGCTCGTTTTTATCTCACTAGCGTGCTTCGCTTCTGACGCGGGATAGCCCGGTGTGGCGCTCTCTGTGAGGCTGCCCCTTGCAGCTTTTTCTTTTTTTTTCCTACGCACTGGAAGGAAGAAGACGTGAAACCCTTGCTATGTCCCCCTCAGGCACGAATCGTGGACTGTCTGTAACAGCGTAAAATTCAAAAAACATTGCTCCAAGGCACTCCATATTCCAGTCCAAGAAAGACAGTAGGGCGATATATTGATTAGTGAATTTTTCTACTATTGGTTGTAACTTGGATGTTATTGAAGAGCTGTGTGTTCTGGATTCCTTGACATTTTAATTCTTCAAGAAAATCAGATCACAAGTTCGAAATGCCTGAACAGGTTTTTATCAGTTATATACATTCTGAGCAAACGAATATCATAGCTTCATAGTTCTAGCTTAGCTGCCAAAATGTGGCACATCAAGCAGCTCAGCAACCAAGGTAGTGTCATCAGAAAAGGGAATACTGTGCAGCATAGTACAGTGCACTAAAGCTTGAATGAGCACCTAATGTCTATTCAGGAAAAGTGTCGCAATGTTCGCTCCGTTTTTCAAGCCGATGGAAGCAACACACAGTGCAAGGCGTGTTTGTACAATTGTGCATGTCAACTACAGAGTTGACGTGCACAATTGTACACATCAACCATTGAACGCATTTACGAATACAACCTTGTTTTGAAAATATAGAGGTATTTCCGGTGTAACAATGCGATATCTTTAAACTTGTGTAACCTAGTTGTATCACAGGAACCATTATATGAATTCAGAAAATGCAATCATCGGGCTTTGCCATTCTCAAGAACAAATTACGGCTCATGTCGATTGCAGTACTAAGTGCCTTGGGTATTAAATGTGTTGTATTCCTCAAAAACTGAGTTTAGCACTCTTACAAAAAAGGCGTTAAGATAAAACATATTAAATAAGAGTACAATTATATGAGTATTATTTGTGGATTTCAAATTCATGTTTTTTTTTAAGGGGAGATGCGGGTCGAAAAACGAGAATTTTCTAAAAAATTATCGATTTTTTGTTTTCACCTGTTTTGTTAAGATTAGTACCTCTACTATTCTGAAAAAAAAATCTATGTCGAGAATCAACTGGAAATGCTTTAAAATTGCGTCTGAAGAGCACAAGGTGGCTGTCAAAAGGCCGAAAGTGTGTCATCTTCGAGCACCTTGCCGCTGATAATGCGCCGCTGCTCGCCATTGTCGACCGCATGAGGCGAAAAACCGAGCCTCACTCTTCAAATAGCGATGGTTTCCCGCGCTGCTGCAACGCAAGAAATAATAAAGAGAAGCACGCTTTTGCCGCCTTTTTCGAGCGCCGCGACTGGCTTTTAAATCACGTGGTACGGATCGGGAGCCGCCATTGGCCGCTGCGCGCCTGTGTGTGCTGTGAAGCCTACTTGCAGGATCCGTCTCTCGTCGAACAGCACAGCTGAACAACGCTTTTCTCGAGTGCTTATTCGTTATGGATGAAGAAAGCCGTAGGAGGCGCGGTCACCGGCCTGTGAAGTTTCACGCGGCGCACAAATTTCGAGGCCGCCGGCGCAAATCAAAGCCGAACACTCAAACCACGAAAAGATCGTCTGCTGCCGCAAAACGTAGTGGCAATGACGCCGATGCGCCCGACGAGTTTGCCGCGGCATTCAAATATGTGAGTGCCTCCCAGAAAAAGATCGGACTCTTCGAAGACGAAGAAAAATCACAGGACGACGAGTCTTCGTTGATTGCTGATGTGACAGCACTGAACATGCTTGTGCGCGGTGCAATGTGTCCGACGTGTCGCCATTTGGGATTACGTGTCCGGGAACCGGCCGACAAGCGGAAAGGACTTGCGTCGTTCGTCGAACTCCGCTGCCCAAACAGTGAGTGCCCCGAGACTATTCTTTCGGTGACATATACTTCGCGGCGAGTAGCTTCAGGCGGGGAGGCCAGCGTGAGCGTGGCGGGTGACGGACTGACCGCGAGGAGAACATACGACAGCGGGAGCTCGCGCGATAGCTACGCTGTCAACGTGAAAGCTGTTGTGGCGGCGCGCTCTGTAGGCATGGGCTACGAGCAGCTAGTCCGATTTGCGGCAATTCTTGGCTTGCCAAAGCCAATGCACCATAAATCGTTTACTGCAATCGGCCGGAAAGTCCATGATGCGGCAATGGATGCCATCGGCGCCAATCTTGCGAGGTCGAGAGAGCTGACAGTAAAGGAAGTTGGCGGGGACGACATTGCCGTTATGGGCGTTATGTGGCGCATAATCGCTGTGTGGCGCATTTTAATGGCAGTGGCCACTACAAGGAGGCTTTTTCTTTTTTGTGTACAAATTTCGTCGCATTCAATGACATCTTTGATAAATAAACATGCAATTTTGACTTTAAAACTTCTTTTTCTCAAAACACAAATTTTGCCATTTTTGTCAATGTGCCCCTCCTTTTTCGGGTACTTCTGGTGCTCAGATCTGCATGAAATTTTTCCCAAATTTTTTCCAAAGTACGAGAAATGCAATTATCTTGTTTAAGTTTCAATATTCTTTTTATATAATAAAAAAAAGTTATGTCAACTTTTACTAGGGTAGGAGAAATATGAACTTCCCACGTTAAAATTTTTCACGTCTAGTACATATTTTGTATGGACTTCCAAATTAGTTGTTTGCATTCCACACTTCATTTGAAACATTATGAACTATCAATTGTAAAAAATTAATGAAGTTTAGGTATGAAAAGAGGGGGGGCAAAGGGCTTAAGTTTTTCACTTTGTCATGTTGCAAAACTAAAAGTATGCAACTTGCAAGACAACTCATTATATATTCGAAATCAGCATAAAAAGTTCTATAAGCACCTCAAGTTTCATTGCTCTCGAATGAATACTAAAAAAAAAGTGTCTTCGACCCGCATCTCCCCTTAATTCTGAATCGCATGTATGTATGAAAACTGTTGTATGTGAATAGATGTTGATATTTTGTGTTAATGTATAAATGGGAAAGTGTTCACATGTTGTATATACATGAATATTGTCGACATGGAAGCGTGTGAATATTTATTTTATTTTCTCTCTCTCTCATATATATATATATATATATATATATATATATATGCTGTATGTTTTGTCGCCAAGCCAAAAGGGCAGGAACCTCGTCAAGCTGCTGTTTTGCAGCTTTTTGTTCTTTGCTCTTGCATTTTCTTTTTTTTTTCTTGTAAAAAGGAAATGCGAAATAAACTTGAAACTCCGTAGTTGACGTGTACCGAAGTGTTCGAGGAGCTTTGCTGTGCAAATCAACTGGCCCAATGTCGTTCACAGCGGCAAGACCACCTGTACCGGTCCCTGTTGCCGCTGGAGTCGCGGTACAGCAACGTGTACCTGGCACGTGATCGCCTGGCCACAATCTGGGGCGGTTCGAGTCTGCTGGAGATGCTCCTGCGGGGCATGGCCTACCTGCTGCGCCGGCACCCCGGTTGGGACTACTTTGTGAACCTGAGCGAGACGGACTACCCCGTCAAGTGAGTCACTTTCTGCATCGCCATTGTTCTTAGACCTGAGAGCCATTTCGGGACATGATTGCTCGTTTGTTTCTCTTTTTATATCAGTTATTACGACAGAATTTATGTTAACAGTGTGATAAACCTATATTTTTTACATGGCAGTCAGATGTTAAAAATGTGCTAATATTCCAAATTTTGAAAATGCTTTTAATAGGGTTTGCTATTAAATTCGATTCACACTGGGGAATTTTCACTATTCGAACTATTCGAACTTCTAAATGACTAGTACAGTCAATGTCTGATAAACAGTGGCCTCTTATGATTTTCAATATGCTTCTCCCTATCACACATTGGAGCAAAGCTGCCTTTCAGGCTCTGCTTCAGTCACATTTGTATTGACTCGAGAAAACATTTGATTTAACATGGGAGATGATAGATGTGTCACAGGTGAGACTCAATCAATGCTGCAACACCAAACATTTTTAGCATCCGAGATTTCAGATGTTCTTATATATTAATGTCTCCAAGGCAGATTTGGAACTCCGCACTCAAAGCGAGCGCAGCCTTGTTCGCTACGTAAGTTGGGCTTCCACAGAAGTTGAAAGAGGATGAGAGGCTAAGAAAATGGCATCTTCAGTATAGACTGCTTATAACATAAATCGTGGGAGTCGCTAATATTAGCGCTATACCGGTAAGTGATATCGCACTATAATCAAAACAACCATTTCAAGGGCCACATTTCTGCAAAAGGTGTTGAGCATGCAGCTTCGCGTGTCCGAGAATCGAAACATGCAATGTGTGCTTGCTAGCATTTAAGTTTCTGAATTAAAAAAAAATTTAACGTTCGATGACACGTGTTGCCAGTGAAATGAACGCGAAAGGTGGTTGTTTAACAAATGAAAACACCATCACGGAAATTCCTCGACTACCAGACCGCCTCGATTATGTGCATTACAGAGAAACTATGTCGAATCATGTCCAGAATTGGACGCGTTGAAAGACGCCAACCATTCGATTTCACGGGTGCGCACCCAATTTGAGATATCGCAATCGGATCGCGATCCACTACTATTTGAGTGCTACACGGGCTGCTCTCGTTGTATGCATCACTTCCTGTCAAGTGCGGCCTGTCAAGAGTTTCGTTGATTCGGTACCAAACCACAACTTAGATTCACGCAACCGCTATCGATTGAAGCGCAGCCAACGCCGATTAGGCCTGGCTTGCCGTTTGGTATGTTGTCGCGGAAAGCTTGTCCACGGCATGGATTCGGCATCAAAAAGATTGCACTAGCAGGGAACCAAAAACCGTGTGTGTGATACGAAGTTCGCGTTCGCTGCCGGGAGATCAGCAGCGACGGTCGACAACTCGCCAAGCTTATGTACGACAGCGCACTGGAGGCAAAAGTGAAAGCTGCGTCATAAAACAGTAAAAGGTTTTCAATTTACAGACGAAGGAGCAAACGAGATATTTGTTGCAAACGGCGACGTCTTTTCCGACAGGAAACTGTTGAGCGCATGCAGCTGATGACGAGATAGCACGTGCCACATTGAGCGGCGCGCGGCCGAAGCCACGCTAGCGACGTAGTACGCTGTAGCCGCATCAGCGCCCGTGCAAAGGCTTATCGGTCACCAAGGCAACCGTCCTCCTCCCTTACTCGGCGAGCCCGCGCTACTGTACCCGCGCTGTGTCCCACGGTCTTTTTTTTAAATTTTCTTTTTCTTCTCTTCGCCCTTCGTTCAATCACTCGGTGTCCCCTCCTCCTCTGTAACGACCTCGTCGTTTGCATTCCAGCGACACACCTAGCACGCCTGCTTTAAAAAACGCGCTTGCTACCGCGTTTGTCGCAAACAATTTCTGGCTACCGCATTATAACCGGTCTTTCATCTTGGGGGGACTGCACAATAAGTGGTTTGCGTATACATGGAATTTTATGGGAGGGTAAACATAAGTAGAAAAAAAAAAACGCATTGTAAGCGGTTCGGCACTATAAACGGTTACGTTATAAGTGGTCTACACTGTATATGCTTTTCATGTGTCATATGTTGTCGGCAACACTTTAGTAGCACGCAATCAGGTACATTAAAACCTCGTTAATTTGAAGTAACTTGGGCCATGAAAAAATCCTCGAATTAGGGGGTTTTCGAATCAATGGAACATACAAAAAGTGAGATGCAAGGGACTTTAAATTATTCGAAGAAGTAATCGGGGCTGGTTGTTTGCTGCACTGGCTAGATTGTGGCATCAAGGGTTGTGTTTTCCAGCAAAACCTAGTCCCAATTTTGCCGCAAACACGGGGGAATGTTGGGCCTCACTTCTGCCACCAAAAAACAAACAAACAAAAGGACATGCTGTCTGGAATGTTCGCTTGCAGAAAACGAGACATCTCCACTGCAGCGCAGTCGTGAGACGCGGGCAGCATGTCGCCTGCTCTTCGCTGCGTCAGCACGTCGTGATGCTACCATTCGCCTATTCTTTTTGTCAAAGTAAAGAATTTAATAATGGCCAGTGTCACGAGATCCACGATCTGTTTTCGTTTGAAAACTTGATCATTTAAGCTTTCGAACATAGTTTTGGAAATAGAAGTTGAAAGCAAGAACTCCTCCAGCAGTACAAGTGCGCAAATTGCTCTAGCAACCGGTAATGGGAGGTTCGCTTACATCATGAATTCTGCTAAACTGTCCTTTATTAATTTCTTTATATTCTCAGAAACAATTCGTAAATCATGACGAGCTGACATTGCAAGAAGCATGCAATATGCTGCCAGCGCGTCACCGCTGTGCTGTAGTGAAGCATGCCTTTTTTTTTTCGCAGGCACACATTTCAGTTGACCACGAGACCATTTTAAGGGGCAAAGCTCCTAAAGGCGTGGGTTTGTTCCTCCTAGCTCGTACGTGACCGCCTAGTTCGATGTCTCACTCAGCAGGTATGGACAGACACACAGACTGATGAACGAACCGACGGATTAACTGATTGACGGACGGAAGATTCGCAGTTTACCTATAAAACCCCCCGAAGCTTCACCCCACTCGTCATCATTCACTCCGCGGATATGTTGTGAATTTCTTTTACCCCTTTTTTTTTCGCTCGAACTAGCGAGGCTGAGGGGCTTCAGCTGCAAGGGGCCCATTATACGCTGCGGCACCCTCTCCGCATGTAAGATTTCGCGTCTAATACTTTTGAAAACATTTTCAATTGAACGTGTGATTATAATGTTACGAGTAACTTATTTATTAAACCATATGCGATGCACAGAGCTCAGCGAACAAGATGGCGTCAGTGCATCAACAACTAGCAAGCGTCGTCTTTCTCTTTCATGCAGTAAGCCTGCGGCGGCTGTTCTGTATCATAACCCCCTGGTGGTAGAAGCACCATCTCGGTGCTTGAGCTATTCGCATGCAGTGGAAGGAGGGTGATAAGGCTTGAGTCAAGCTATGTGCACGATGTCCCTCGAAGTTGACAATGATGACGTTGGATCGGCTGGAACGATCTCATATGTAATGTCAGTCACCGTCAGCTGGGTATGACGGGGAGTAAGTCATGGCCATTGTATAAACTATAATTTATTTACACCGAAACAAGAAATAATGTTTTGGCTTTCATAGCAGATGCGTACACCTGCAAGCAAGTTGGCAGTAATGTTGACAGAAATGCTGGCAACGCTGTACCTTTGTTTTGGTACAAGTTTTCTCTACGTACGCCAATTCTTAGAACTTGTGCTACCACGTCGATCACAATGTTTTTTACAATATCATATGGGCACAAGTCTCACTTTCAGAACATGAAGCCCTTGCTGTGGATGGGTCACACAACAGTTCGCTTATACAGTCGATCCCGGATATATCGAACTCCAAGGGGATCGTAAAATAGTTCGATATATCGATGATTCGAAATATAAAATATGCCTACCTGAAGCTTACCTGAATACTCCGCACATCACTGAGAGCTTTCGGGGATCGTGACAAGCGGTTTGTAACCGACTTGTTCTCCAAAGCACGGAAAATACGAAACACAGCGCAACGACCATGGCCCTTTATTTGGCATGAAAAAAGTACGTGAGCTTGGACTGCTTCCTCTTTTGCGCGCTGATGTTCATTAAACTGTCTTCAAGTTTTCTGACGCTGTCCAAATGCGAAAGTCCGGTGCCTTCCATTGCGCCGCAACAGCGGCAAATCACGCTGAACGCCGACGCAAGCTCAGCTGCAGTAGGCGGGTGGATATCTTCATCGGAGTCGCTTGTTGCCGCTTCTTCGGCAGCGGCAATTGCGATGTCCGCCACAATCTCCATATTGTTGAGATCCGCCACACCCTGCGCATCATCGTCAGCACTTAACAAATCGCGCGCTGTTGCGCAATCTTGGATGGCACCTGGGAATGCCGCCAGCGCCTGAAATTCACCGTCGAAGCACTCAACGCCGTCGTCTTCGGTGTCCGAACACGCCTCGTCAGGAGTGACCACACAGCCCGCTTTGCGGAAGCAGTTTACGTCTGTGGTTTGTTTCACGTCGTTCCAAGCGCCTGTCAGCATCTGTGTAGCTCCAAAAAGGTGAACTTTGAGTTCAATTCCCAAACAAAGGTTTGTCAGGAGCCTCTGCACCAGTCGTTGCCTGTACCCAACCTTGAAGGCTTTGATAATGCCTTGGTCGATAGGCTGCAGCTTCGCCATAGTGTAGGCCGGCAAAAATTTCACGTTGATGTTTTTCAGTGGGATGGTGACGTGGTGGGCCGAACAATTGTCGAGAAGGAGACAGACTTGGCGGCCGGACTTCTCCAGCTCGGTATCCCATGCCCGGAGCCACTCCGTGAACAGATTGCGTGTCATCCACGCTTTTTTGTTATAAGCGTAGAGCACCGAGAGACCTCTTGCGTTCTTGAAGCAGCGTGGCGATCTGCTCTTGCCGATAACGAACGGCTGAAGTTTGCACGAGCCGTCCATATTTGTAGCGAGCAAAATGGAGATGCGGACCTTGCTCGTTTTTCCGCCATGGCATTTGCTGCCCTTGAAGTCCAACGTCTTGTTTGGCAGCATCTGCCAAAACAGGGCAGTTTCGTCGGCATTAAATATTTGCGACGGCGAAAAGCTGTTGCAAATGTCTGGCCATTCGTCGGACAGCCACTTCTCAATGCTGTTGTTGCTGCTGGTTGCCCCGCTTTCACCCGAGAAGGTCTTCCCGACGATGCCGTAGCGATTTTTAAAGCGTTGCTGCCATGCTGTGCCACCAGTGAAGTTGTCTTCACCTAGCGTGGTTGCAAACCACTTTGCCTTTTCCATGAGCATTGGGCCGTCAACATTGGGCAGATATCATTCGCTGGCCTCCACCCGTCGAATGATATCTGCCTTCATTAAGAAATCCAACTTCTTACGTTTCTTTGCGTCCATGGCTCCGAAACACGTGACCCGGCGTCGCAAAAACAAAACAAACGACGGAGCAACCACTGCCACTGGCCAAGCGGGGAGAGCGGACCACTCCGTCGCTCAAGCAAACAGGCTCAAGCGCGCAGAAACTGGATTTTCCTTCCTCCTCAACTGTCCCTCGCCCGTAATCTCTCGCCCGCGTTTTTTACCACGCGGCTGAGGCGTCCAAGGTCACTCTAGCGACGCGACGAAGCCTCTCTCTCACCGAGCGCGAAAGCGCGCCCGAGAACTCGTCGCCAGAAGCTTCCCAGGAGGAGCGGTGAGGCGCACTTGCAGGAGCGCTTGACGGGCGGGAGTGTTCGAAATATCGCGTGTGGCCGTCACCGAGAGTTTGATACACGCGTACAACAGCGCTATACTTTTTGCATGGGATTTCCAAGGGGATGTTTAGACTGTTCGATATATACAATAATTCGATATATCCGGGTTCGGTATATCCGGGATCGACTGTATAGTGCCGGCACGACTACTGGTGTCAACGAAGAAGGAAGAAAACCTGCGTCAACCACTGCTATGAATTTTGGCAGTGTTGAAGTAGAATAAGAAGCAGAACAATAAGAAGCGAACGAGTTGCGGAGATGTAAACACCACAGTGTGCACGGATAGGTTGGCTGGCACGCTGGCATGCACTCTGAGAAGACAAAATGGTGACACAGTGGCCTTTCGCGAACCATGGTGTGTAGAGTGCATACAGTTAAACGTGCGTTTCATTTTCGTTAAAGGCACGTTATGAACGGATTATGCAGTGAAATAACTTCTAATAGAGATTGTTCATTACTGTATTGGCTGAGGCTGTTTTGTGCTCGCAGTTTTTTTCTACTACTACTACTACTATTACTACTACTACTACTACTACTACTACTACTACTACTACTACTACTACTACTACTACAACTAATAATAATAATAATAATAATAATAATAATAATAATAATAATAATAATATAGCTAGTATCACTACTACCTCTACTGGAGTGACAATGTTGATGACATCGCAGGCTAGACCAATACAGCTACACTGTAAAGTAAGCTATCACACGAAGACAATTCTACAAGCCAGGCACTAGGTCGTCAGGCCACATCTTTGAGACTTCTGCTCTAGATGCTCAAGAGCGGAAGCTTGTTCTACGTGCCTTTCTCTTTGACACAGGTCTCGCGAGGAGCTGGAAATGTTCCTGGCAGCCAACATGGGCTCTAATTTTGTCAAGTCTCATGGCCAAGACACGCAAAGGTGGGTGCTGTAGCATCTTTTAAGGAATACTCATGCTTCAGCATAACAAAGTCGCATCGGACACAAAATGAACTTCTTTATATCAGAATATTTGTTATAAACGTAAATTCTTAGCGCTTCACTTGCGTTAAAACTATTGAGTCATTTTGGGCTGCAGTTTACAAGAATCTGCAATGCTTTGCTTATAACCGGCAATTTGTTACATCAGGTGTTGTTTTCTTTTTGAGAGAAGTTTTTTCTTCTGTGTTCTCTGCTGTCTCCTGTACCACATGGTAATAAGTCAATTGTTCTTGTGCTGTCGCCCTTCTGATGACAATGCAGGTTCATAGGGAAGCAGGCGTTGGAGCGCACGTTCCATGAGTGCGGTGGGCGTATGTGGCGCCTGGGGCCGCGCACGCTACCATGGGGACTACGGCTCGACGGGGGCAGCGACTGGGTCGCCCTGCATCGCGACTTTTGCTCCTACGTTGCACTGGCCGAACACGAGGACCCCCTGTTGCAGGGACTCAAGGCACTGTTCCGGCACACTCTCTTGCCGGCCGAGGTGAGGACAACTGTTTACTCTTGTCATGGAGGCAGAAGGAATGCTTTGGAAAGGGCTCGGTCAAGCATGGTTATGTTGGGAAGGATGGGGTAGAAGCTGCAGATTCTCATCATGGGGGAGCACTTGGAGCGGTGGTCTGATTATCCCCGGTACCATTAAGAAGACAGATGAAAGCTTTAAGAGATGAAAAATTTGTGAACATGGTGCTGCTGGAGCCAACGTTTTGAGAAGCAGACTTGTCTTTTCCAAATACAGTCGATCCCGGATATATCAAACTTGGATGTATAGAATTACTGGCTATATCGAACAGTTGAGAAGTCCCCTTGAATTTCCCATGCAAAAGTATGGGACTGGTGCACCCATATATCCAACTCTCGCGCCGCGGGAACTTCCTTATATCGAACGCTGGACCATGCCAAAGCTCAGAAAGTGCATTCTTTCTAGCAAATATTGATCAATTTTTGGCTGCATTCTAACAAGTGCCGATCGCTTTTCGCGGGCAGGTGACGGAAAGGCGGTGTCATTCCAACGCGCTGATCGGGTTCATTGCGTGGCGCTTGCGAGTGCACGATTATGTCCGATACGCGATCTGCAGGTCATAACGGGTGGGCATAGTGTTTTTCAAAAAGACCAATTTCCGAGGACACCAAAATGAGAATGGGAAGTGACTCGGCAATCTAGTTGCGATGTTCCCATTCCCCTCCTTGTTATTGCTAAGTGGCTCGCAAGCCTGAAAAGCATGGCCTTCGAGATGTGCAACCTTGTGACGTTTTTTAGTGTTTTCGGTTTTAGAATGCACATCTCGGAGACCAAGCATTTTCTAGCTTTTCGCATCAAAGCAGCTGAAAGGGATGGCTTTCACCTACAAAGCCACAAGTGACATCAATATCTCCAACATGTTGACCGATGTCGACGGTGGGAACGGCATTATCTTTAGTTTTTAGAACGGCATTATCTTTAGCAGGTGCTGGCTAAGTTAGTTAGCCAGCACCTGCTCGCTTTAAACTGGCTCCGCATTAGACCTTTTTCTAAGGCTAATCATATAGCCCGCACTTGGAGCAGTTCTGTCGTTACAGGCCGCTGGGCCGCTCGCTGCTCAAGCTCACACTCGCCGAGCAGCTGTTTAATTTGCGGAAACCGATCCTGCTGTGGTCCACTGAAGCCTTTGCGTGAAGCTTTGCTGTCGACAATCTTCTGCTTTTGTTTCCGCTGGTCCCGCACGCACGTTTCGGGAACTCCGAACGACCGTGATGCGGCCCGATTTCTGTCCGTTTCGGCACACGCGATGGCTTTTCTTTTAAAAGCAGCATTGTGGTACACTCGTCGAGTTTTTGGAGTCGGCCCTATCATGCCATCGATGCTAATGTACTACAAGATGACGAACTCCTCAGCACACGTACGAAGTGCCGCACATGGGAAACACATAGGCAGAAATGGCTGACGCGCCATGCTGACGCACGTTGGGGCGGCGGCCATTTTAGAAATGCCGATGGCAATATATTGACCGTATTCATTTTTTTTTTTCGTACTCGATTCTAACGCGCATGCGATTTATGAACTCGCTTAACCGGAAAAAAGGTGCACGTTAGATTCGAGTAATTACGGTAACTGGAAGTACTTTAGAACACAAGGTGCCTGTTAAAAGGTCCAAAGTGTGCAGTCTTTGAGCACCTTGCCGCCGATAATGTGCCACCGCTTGCCATTGCTCGCCACTGCGACCGTACGTCATCTTGAAAAGGAAAACTCTACCAAAGGTTCATTTGCCTGCCGGTGTGGTGGTGCGTGCACACGAGAACGCGTGGATGGACAGTGACTTGTTTGTAGACTGGATGAAGATGGTATGGGAGAAGAGGCCCGGTGCGATGCTCGCAAAGAGGGCCATGCTCGCTCTTGACTCGTTCCGCGGCCACACAACTGAGGAAGTGAAGGACCGCCTTTCACGCAACAGCACCGAATTAGTTGTTATACCCGGTGGAATGATGTCAATGTTGCTGCCTCTAGATGTGTCGCTTAACAAGCCCTTCAAAGCGCATGTCAAGCGCTATTACACCGAGTGGATGGCCGAAGGCTGCTACAACTTGACGCTGACAGGACGAGTCCGAAGGCCTGATATTGCCCTAGTCTGCAAGTGGATTGTTGAGGCATGGAAGGCCATTCCAGGTGAGATGGTGCGAAAAAGTTTCAAGAAATGCTGCATCACAAACAACATGGATGGAACCGAAGATGACCTTGTGCATAATAGTGAGGACTGCGGCTCGAGTGATGGCTCTAGCGAGAGCAGCGACAGTGAGTGAATTGTGACTGGCCTTGCAGACAGTGTATTCTGCTTGCTAAATAAAGCTTTTTATGTCTACATATGTGCTATGTTGCTTGAGCAGTAGCTTTTGTACAGCCTTTCCTGTATATCAAATGTGCGGGCAATACGCAAGGATTTTTTTTTGCTTTCTCGGTGAGTGGGGGTGCGGATTATATGCAGGGGCGGGTTATACGCGCAAAAATACGGTAACAACAGTTTCTCTCATTGATGCAGTGCAAGAAATAATAAAAAAAAGCACTCTTCTGCGCGTTTTTCGAGCCCCGCGACCGGCTTATGACGTGGTACTAACAGGGGACCGCCATTGACCGCTGCGTGCCTGTATGTGCTGTGAAACCTATTTGCGGGGTCCATGTCTTGTCGAGCAGCGCAGCTGAACAATGCTTTTCTCGTGTAATTATCTACGTTATGAATTAAAAAAGGCATTGCTCGCAAGTGAAAGCCCTTGTATGGCGCGCTAGGAATAGGCTACGAGCAGCTGGTCCGATTTGCGGCAGTTGTTGGCTTGCAAAAGCCAATGCATCAAAAGTCATTCACACCCGTCAGCCGGAAAGTTCGTGATGCGGCAATGGTTGACGTCAGCGCCAATCTTGAGAGGTCGAAAGAGCTCGCAGTGAGGGAGCTTAGCAGTGACGACATTGCCATTATGTACGACGGTATGTGGCACAAACATGGCTGCAAAGTGGCGTGACACTGGACTTAGTTTAGATTTCGCAGTCCTATCGAACTTCTTCCTAGCTTGCAGTTGGCACAAGGCTCTGCCAGATGAAGCGTAAGTTTGGCAAGCGTTTCATGGCCCTGTCTGTAAGCGAAATGTCTGTGAGGAGTCGGCTCGAAAAAGCCAAGAGGGGTAAACTCATGGTGCTGGCGTATTTTAGTCGCAGTAGCCACTACAAGAAGGATTGTTGTTTTTGGCGTGCAAATTTAATCTGATTTAATAATATCTTTCATAAATAAAAACTTAATTTTAGCTTTAAAACTCGTTTTTCTCAAAACACAAAATTTGCCATTTTTTCCAATGTGCCACTCCTGTTTCGGACACTTTTAGTGCTAGGATCTGTATGAAATTTTGGCCAAATCTTTTCCAAAGTATTAGAAATGCAGTTATCTAGTTTAAGTTTTAATATTTTATTGTATAAAAAAAAATTATGTATACCTTTACTAGGATATGTGAAATATGTACTTTTTGCGTCTATTACTTTTCACGCGTATTACATTTTTTGTATGTGCTTCCTAATTAGTTATTTGCACTCTACACTTTATTTGAAGCAATATGAACTATGAATGGTAAAAAATTACAGAAGTTTAGGGATGAAAAGAGGGGGGGGGGCAAAAGAGTTAAGGTTTTCACTTTGACATGTTGCAGAGCTACAAGTGTGTAACTTGCAAGAAAACTAATTATATATTTGAAATCAGCATAAAAAGTTCCATAAACAGCTCAAGTTTCATTGCTCTAGGGTGAATATTAAAAGAAAGTGTCTTCGAGTAGCATCTCCCCTTAAACTTTCCTTGTGTGCCATATGACGTAGGGTGCGTCATGACTGCTGACAACAATGTGCGGTGCCTCAATGAATTTCATGGCTTACCAGCGTTTCCGGGCACCATCTCGGACAGTGAGTGACTTTGTCGGTGCAGATGAGCACAGCTTTTTGGGACTGCATTGACGCTGAGATCATGACTGCCGTTGCCGCTGCCACAGAAGTGTGTTTGTGTGGTCATGAATAGGCCAGCGTCGTCACTGTCGTCACTAATCAACATTTTGCCGCGCTACAAACTTGCATCGGCGTTCTGCGCCAGTCAACGATGTTGTGGCCAAAAGGGTTGAAGTCGCCTATTTAAAAAAGTTTCAGGATGACTGAAACTTGATGGCACGCAACAAGGAAGACAAGTTCACAGACTATTTTAATGCAAGACAAAGTGCGGTGACTTGCAGTTCACACCTTGTTCTTCATTATACTCTGAGTGAATAACTATGCTAGCACTTGTAACGATTTCCGAGGCCTGAAATGCTTTAATTTAGGCCTTAAATACGCATATTTTGTACTTCAAATTATTGCTATATTAAACTATTTTGCGATCCCCTTCGATTTCGGTATATTCAGGATCGTCTGTAGTAACTAGTAGTCGGGCTTGTTCTGGAACTGACTCGAGCACCAGCGATAACACTAGAATTTTCAGTTATCACGAATTTAAGTGCAACATTTTGTTTTATTGCGATACCAGTTATATAGACATTCTCGGCTGATTTTTGCCATTGCCCTTGCCGTCATGTCCTGGATATGTATAAGTACGTATATATAGAAAAAAAGGCGCAAATAAAAATCAATCAGACAAGAAAACCATCAGGCCTATGCAGAATGCGCAGTATAGTTGCAGCGAAAGCTGAAAGAGTGGCCTTTTTTAGTTTTCTTGTGGACACTCTTTGGGTAACTGCTACAACGACACTTGCAGGGTATTCACTGTGCCTCATAATTTTTGTCTACTAAGAATGCGTCTACTATGCTATCCTTTGTCATTCTTCGGAGAAGCGTGGTACCCGCTATGCACACACCAGGGAGTATGGGCATTTTGTTTATGTTCTGACTGACAATGATGAAGAATAATACTTTAGGATCCATAATGGGTTGTTGCATTCAACAACCCACTCATTATGCAATTCACATTGTGCAACGCCTGATTGTTACTT